CACACACACACACACGCACACACACACACGCAAACACACACACGCAAACACACACGCAAACACACACACGCACGCACACACACACGCACACATGCACACACACACGCACATGCACGCACACACGCACACACACGCACACAGACACGCACACGCACACACACACGCACACACACAAACACACACACACACACGCACACACACACAAGCACGCACATACAAACACCCACACACACACGCACGCACACACGCACATACACACGCACACGCACGCACGCACATACACACGCACACGCTCGCACAAACACCCACACACACACGCACGCACGCACGCACATACACACGCACACGCTCGCACACACACACGCACACGCACACACATGCACGCACACACACGCACACACATGCACACACACGCACGCACACACACACGCACACACACACAGACACACACACACGCACACGCACACACACGCACGCACGCACACACACGCACACGCACACACACACGCACACACAAAGACACACACACACACGCACACCCACACACACACACACACGCACACACGCACGCACACACGCACACACGCACACGCTCACACACACACGCACACGCTCGCACGCACACACACGCACACGCACACACACGCACACACACACGCGCGCGCGTGCGCGCACGAACCCCAAACATTGAACTTGGGAAAATTCAATGCGGGTGCACGTCAACCTGCTCCTTCCTGAGAATCTAATCGGTTTATAGTTATTGCACTTTCATACCGCACTTTTTAGGTTTTACCCTTGTTAATATTTTTTATTTATTTGGCTTTCTAAGAAACAAAAACAGTGAACTTGGGAAATTTCTCCTGTTCACTTATGTTAGACTGGCTTGAGCCTGTAATACCTTCTGGTGGTGCGGACTACCCCCTTTTTCTCTTTAGTTGCTTTAATATATAGGGGGCAAAAAAGCACAAACACACGCACGCAGCACACACACACCGACACGCACATACACCCAGACACGTTTGCGCGTGCATGCACACCTAAATACTTGAAACCGACTGTCTATAAATTACATTTCGTATGTCTTGCGTAAAAGGGATAGTAAGAGCTATTTTAGACCAAATATACACAGCATCGTATGGCCACTGTAGGTCCTACCAACTTGCATTAAAAAATCTATTTTCACAAATATTGAGACTCAGCGGAAAAATCTTCTTTTGTAGCATGAGCCGCGGCATTGCTGTGTTGATGTTACGGACCAACACGACACGTAGTTGCGTTGTCAAAACTGCCACATTTCGAGTTATACGTTTGCGTGATGGCTGTATTATGCAGAGCGCTAAGTTTACCACCAGAACCTCCCACGGTAAACTTGTTTTGAGGGTACATTATCGTCTAACGTACACAGTTGTACATAGTTTGCAGGTTTCAAACTTTATAAGGAAGCTGCATAGTCATAATAAATTTTGCAGATTTCAAGGTACCACCATGCACTACTTCATTACTACTATTTTTTACATATTGTTCGGGCAAAAAGTTTTCCTGGCTATTTACTAGTTGCGGGAGTCACACCCCTTACCTGGCTGGCTTGACAAGCTTGACTATGACACGTGATGCACAGTGTCAACGCACGTAGCCCACTCGTGTCCTTTAAAGATTCCGTAACGCCCCTCGTTTAAAGACGAAGGAATCGTTACGTCTGCGCCTTTCCTTTCCTTCTATAGGCGATATTATAGTTAGATTTAGTTGTGTGTCCGCCGCCGCCGGACGGACGCAGCCTCCCATTGCGAATGGCTGCCAGGATGCGTCTGTACGGCTGCTGCAGACGTGCAACTAAATAAGTCTATTACCCCTCGCCACTTATTTCTTAAAAGAACGCTTACAATGGCACCACTAAGCGTTATGCGTATCGATATTTGGCCTTTAGAACTACACCCGGTCATCTCGTCTTGCCCAGGCGCGAACAGGCAAATTGAAGTCAAATGAGTTTATGGCGCACGGTAGGCATGTCGGACAAGGAAGAAGGAATGGACAGCTGTGGAGCGGGTCAGCGCAGGAGACAGTTCACATCTACTGTTTTGTGTACATGAACCAATCTAGGATATCTATTATGTAGTCGTCACGCGAATCGATGTTCTTGCTTCACGTAAAGTCCCCGGAGACTTTAACTTCACTAAGCGCGCCAGAATGACGGGAAACGCCGGGAGAGAGTAAGGCGATTGTTTTCGTATTTTCAGAAACTGTCGGGGGACCCTTTATAGTGCCGAAGTGCGCGTAAGCCAGGATGTGGCGAGCGCATTTACATGTTGCAGTGCAGCCAGCGGCGTAGGTTCGTGGTTGTTGTGCGAGCAATTGGGGGCAACAAAAGTGGCAGCTGAGTTACCGACATTCCATATGTTTTGTTTAGTGTTGTATGTTTAATTAAAAATAAATATTTTTGTGTTCTGAGACATCGGCCGCTTACTTTCTTGGCCAGTCGGTGAGAACTCCCCACAATGTTTAACCCTTGCACTGCACAGTTTTACTTTTTTTTGGGGGGGGGGGGGGGGAGGGCAGCTCTGTTCTTACTACCAGGTTTTCACTTTTTGATTCGCAGGGTATAGTGTATATTTGTGTCACCAATGCAGCAAGAAGCTCTTCAGGTCTACTCAAGACCATTTATTACGGAATTCCTGAGCGGTTGAAAACTAGCACACAGAAATGAACGATTGCAATTACTATATCATTATTCACAATACTTTACAGGCTCTTTAACGGAGCATTGTGTAAGGGGGGCAATACATGGTAAAATATCACATGTGACAAATATAGAAAAAGATGAAATTTAAACGATACAATCTGGAAAGTACACTGTGATGTAAACGACTGCCAGAAAAGCAAGAGCGACACCCTAGTAGAAAAACTAAACAAAGGAAGAGCGTGCACGAAACACGAACTTAATTAATATGAAGAGTCAGTGGTTGAAAAAAAATAAACTTTTGGTAGCGTCTACAATACTACAATTTGATATAATACAGCGTTAAACCATTTAAAACTTAAGATAACACATCTACTGAAAATAAATAAGAAATAACTATGTAAGCATGAAATGTTACAAGCACGGCAGTAACAAAATTGTATAATTTGTGCATGGTAGCCAACCATATGTCTTTCTGGTTAACCTCTCTGCCTTTTCCCCTTGTGTTGCTTTCTCTTCCTTGTCGTTTTTTCAGAGTCGTTACAAGTTATCCATTTTGTCTTGTGTCTAAATTCATCAAGTGTTTTGTATTTTTGCGCCTGTAGGATACATACGGTCTGCACTTGGCGCTGATTCACCATGGCCACGCCGCTGAGACACTGTCGAAGAGACGCGAGCCGATGCTGATGTGGCAAGGTGCGCTCCTGTGGTTGTGAAGAGTTTCACAACAAATTATATTTGTTTATATTTTTTATTCAGAGACAGCGGGGCATAGGAGCATAATTTTCGTAAGAATGTTTGTTATGAGTGGCAAGAAGAGATATAGAAATCTAAAACATACATATAGTACTTGAGATCGGCAATGAAAAAAGTTGGAGCACACCATGCTAACGCTGACATAATCTCAGCGTGCGTGCCGTCTACCGAGACTTTTGGTGTTCGTTGAGGCCAACAGTGGCAGACATGTTGCGGCAGTCGCAGTCGTCACGTAAACTCAGATATTTAAACTGTTATTGAGCACAACTGCCATAGGCTCAATCGCAGTTGAAAATTGCAGTATGAACAGGGTATGTTGATGCACGTAATACTTGAAATATGGTAATGCTCATAAACACACATGAATTAGACTTACTAGCGAGGATACTGTTCAACCAGTGTGTTCGTTGAATTTTTGAAATTTTCGTGAACTGGTCAAGGCGTGTTCTAATATTGTGTTTTTCATGACGGAATACTTGTAACACCAGAAGAACATTATTCCCAGCGAGGATACTGTTCAACCAGTGTGTTCGTTGAATTTTTGAAATTTTCGAGAACTGGTCAAGGCGTGTTCTAATATTGTGTTTTTCATGACGGAATACTTGTAACACCAGAAGAACATTATTCCCTTGTTACATAAATTTGCGGAAGGGCTGTATGTTAATCGCCTATAAACTTTTGTACGTTGTATGATGACCTGAGAAAATCAGCAAATGTAGGAATTCAAGGAAAATCAATGCCTGCTCAGCAAAGCGTCTCCTGCCTATTCAAACTTCTTTTACTAGCATCGGTGGAGCTACCTGGTGTGAATATAGAGATCACCGTTGCTCACACGCTAGTAAGCGGCGGAGATAGTGTGAAAGGCAATGTCTAGCCTCGGATGAGACACTACTCGCCCTTATAGGCCTGCTAGCACAAAGAAATAAATTTGAGCCTCCCTCCCCCTCTCCAATTCAGCATAGTTACTGCGTGGTATTGGGCCAATACATTGGCGAGACCAGTTGGTCTGTCACAGTGCAATTGAGGCCGTGTTTTCGTGTGTATTCAGTGGTAGTCAGTATAAAAGTTTACAAAACCACAGATATGAGATGGATATGACTTATTCAACAGCCTGATAATTGTATCATTACGCCGCTGCACCGTAGCAGTATACAAGCAACGTTGTTTCACTACGTCCCATAGAGGATACGCCAAGAATCTCCTCGTAAGTGTAAAATTTTGCCGGGCATTTCTGTTGGACATATATACGTAGGTCTTGCACCCACTTGAACTTTAAGGTGAATGCGTTTGTGGTGGCTGCCGAGAACAAATTTACGAGATATTCTGCTCTCCACTCGCTTCCTAGGAAGCAGGCTGCAGCAGTTTTGCGGCAAAGACAATTGTTAAGTACTAGTAAAGCATTGCACTCGTGAGACGAATATTCGAAGATACCATCGTTTTCATGAAGGATTCTTTATTTAAAAGTAAACACGCCAGTTGAACCGATGTCTTCACCAGAAAGTCGTTTGTACACACCATCTCCGCGATGCGGTATTGTGGAACTCCAGTCTTGCACTAAGGTATGACTCGTCTACCACCAGCCGTGCCCTCCGTAGCCTCCACCGTATCCACCACCATAACCACCACCACCGTATCCACCGTATCCACCGTATCCGCCATGTCCACCGTGACTGTGAATGACGATGACTTTTTTGTGCCCGCCATGGCCGTGACCGTATCCGCCCCCGCCGTACCCTCCAATGCCGTAGCCTCCGCCGCCATAGCCTCCTCCACCGTAGCCTCCGTAATGGTAGCCCGCGTTGACGCAGGACACGATGAGTACAACCACTACGAGCAGGACAGTCTGCGAAGAATGACTCAGTGAATGCACTTTCGCGTCGGGTGAGACTAATCGAAATTGTGGGATGAAACGTTTTATGAAAATATTTGATGTGTGAAAAAGGGGTGACCTTCTTTTGTAGAAAATAAAAAAAGACTGCTCACCTTTTTCAATATGCCTATAGAGAGACCAGGAAGCTGATATAACTTCAAATGAAAGTAGTTATGAAGCATGCTTCATTTCTGATCAAAGAATATATTCGATTAACGTATATTTCAAGACAAATCTGTTGATTTTGGCTTCTTTCAAACTAACACTTCCTTGCTCCAACTGGACGCCGAGTAGAATATCTGCACCTAAGGATGTGTGAATAGACATCAATTACAAAATTTGGTGAGCTTCATGCCAAATGCTTTCACCAACCGAAGCTGGTAAAGCGAAGATGCACTGTCATGGGCGATCAAGAACCTTGGAATTTTCACGCGTTGTTGATATAATTCTCCTGGACTACTATGATTTTACGCGCATATATTCAAGGCTTTTTAGTACGTTAAAGATGCTTTTTGCCGAGTCTACTTATAGGAACATTTTATGATTGCAACTGTATTGAGACTTGATGTTATGTAAGGGTTCAAATGTAGTGTGAGTGGTGAATGACGTGGCTGCAGCATTTCTTTTCATTCCATCTTAAGAATGCGGTAAAGGGTAGATAATTCAGAAATAGAAGCACGGAGATCAGAAATATCGAATTGTATTTGTTCGAGATTAGGGGGTTTCGCATTCAAGCTGTTGCACGTAAATTATGTTGCCGACATGTGTAAGGAAGCAGTCTTGTCACCAGACCTTATTTGCACTGCCCGGACAAATTGAGTTCCTCGCCTCACTAACGCTTGCCTCAAATTCCCATCCTTTTACACAGTGTGTTTCAGTTGCGTGTAGAGAAATATTGCCAGAAAGTGGAATACCCCGAGAATCAGGAAGGCACATCACTAAACCATTAGGCGAGAAATCACGAGAAATAACGTGTGTCAGTGCAGCCCCACAGCGCAAACCCTGCGCGTACGCTATTTTCATTCCTTTAAATATTGTGGTTACTTTGTCCATTAGGCAACTCAGCAAACTTGCGGCAGCAAAAAAAAATTGAACGTGTGTGTTATGGTGATAAAACTGACTTAACAATATTCTAAACAAGGCTGATACATTTATTTAGCAAGAATTAGTAAGTCGCAATCAGTTAGCATGAAATATTAGGCGGACCCTAACGTGGCCTTATTAGCTCATTTCCAACATGCTTCAAGGCATATATAGCACTTCTCTGAAGTGCCTTGAGTCACTAGGTGCCTTTGTAGATCTGGCCCTTTTTCATAGATGACTCAAGAAATAAACAAAATACTTCAGACATTGACAAAGAAAGTTCCTATTCGGATGGCAATGGGCACGGCAATTAGTACTTTAATGACGATACTTTAAGAGGTATACATAATGCCTAAATTTTCTGAACAAATTGCATACGGGCATTCAAGTATACACAGAGTTATTCGAGGACACAATGGGAAATTGCATATACTTCAGTAAGGTCCACAAAAATTTTGTAGGTTTTGGCTTGATTGTAGAAAGCCCCATTACGCACCTTGCATGTGTCAAGAAGCTTTCCACTAATTCAGTAAATGTGCCAGTGATTGAAAGTGGTAAATTCCAACGCGGCCTGACATTTATAGCCACAGTTTTGAGTTTGTCCTCTGGTTCTCAGTTGGAAATGGAACTTTGTAGTCTATATACGGGAGTGAGAAAATCGTTACCTATTTGTCGTGAACTGAGCGATTGGGGAACACATAGCAATTGATAATAGGCCTAATTGCAACTACTTCACAAACACATATTATGTATGTATTTTCATGAAGAAGGATCATACCGTTGTCTTCATGCTTGGCTGAATGATGCTCAGCGTCTCAAACGGAATCTTCAAGTCAGATAGACAGGTGTCTGAATCACAGTGAACTATGCAGGCCCCCAGCCGTTCTTATATACCATTCTTCGGTTGTAGGGCGAATGTAAGTAAACCAGAACGCGGCCGACATTGCATCCGCAAACACACGAGTGATTGACGATGTCACACCTTTGAGTAGCGGCGACGCACGGGTGTTTTGTTAAGGCAGCGGAGCGCAACGGAGTATCGGGCAAATCGGTGGCGTCGCCGCAGGCGCATTGACTTCGCGCAGGCGTTAACCTGATAACGCGGGCCGGAAGGGGCATTCGATGCATTGGACAGCTTGTCAGCGCCAGAGAAACTCTTTGTTTGCACCGGAAATGCTTCACTGAGCAAGCGGCGCTTTGGGTCGACTCTTGGAAAGTGAATGAAAGTGTCTATATGTGCCACATTCAAGACCGAATGCGAATAAAATGACGTGACTTGATGAAATGCCCTGTCCCCGTTTGATAATATAAACTGTACTTTTGAAAGATTGTTGTTTTTAATAGTTAGCGGAATATAGAAACCGGTGATCATAGTGGGCATTGCAGGTATTGTGATTGTCCAACTTCGCTTGATAATTGTATCGTCATCGGCACTACAGTAACTACAAGGTGACTTGCGAGATGACTGAGTGGGTAGAAATTACAAAAGCGAGAACTGCCTGTATCAGCACAATATCCGTTGTTCTCTGGAAAAAAAAGAGGGCCTTAAGCTAAACAAAATACAATGGCGTGGCTCCACTCGTCTCAATGTGTGTCATTTCAAGTGGATTAATAAATTTGTTCTCACCCTCTACTTATCGTTCTATTTAATTTTGCTTCGTCAGCCCAGCCAGAACTTCTGGCACCTCCGCGCTTTTGTCAACGTTTGTGTGCAATCAATGTTTAATAAATATTCCGTCGGACGACAGCTTATCGTCCTATCATCACTTCCTTTTTTTCACGTATTTTTTGCGCGCTGCAAGTCTCACGATGTTTTAAGATGAACAAGTCCACTCTTACGTACTGCCGTTGTAAAAGATTGCGAATACGTAGTAAATTGTCTGCATTATTTTCACCTAATTCCTGCATACGGTTTAGACAGAGTTGTCGACATTTATTTTTGCTATCATCGTGTCAACAAGGGTCTGAGCAAGAGCAATATACACTACTATTTTCATGAAATCAATCTATTGTCTGATATATTTCTCTTCATCAAACTTCATTTTGCAGCGGACTGTTACAATTGATCCCTTCCTTGAAGTCTAACATGGAACACTTCTATGGTAGACTAGACTCGTTTGACAGGACGCTGCTTTCGAGCCACGCCTGAAACATATTTCCATTTTTCTTTATACGAGCAAAACCAAAACCAATTCCCACTGTATTTCTAGCGTGATATATGCTTCTATATATGCCATAACACAATATGAATGCTTCCAGGATAAGCAGATATTTAATGACAACTTAGTTTGGATTAAACGTTACTATGTATGAACATAAATTAATCAATTATAAAACATCTTTGTTGCAATTGAGTATCGGGTGTCTTGAAATGGCAGACAGTCCGTGATGGGTGGCGCCGGAAAGAATTAGAAGTATGCTATATTTTAGCACTAAATTGATTTATAGAGATAAAGTATTCATTCACAAATAAGTGAAATTAATTTCGCTATTACTGAAGCATACATAGAAGGCAGAAAATGTAGGTTTCATAATTTATTAGTAGACAATGCGTCTCTCGAAACACAACTTAACCAACTTACAGAGGCCCTAGCAGTTAGAGTTATCAAAATAAATGACTTCACTGTAAGTGGGTGCAAAAACTCCAAAGTGCCATTGGCCCATTCATTTTATTTTAGTTCGTATTCTGGCTTACGAAGAGTTTTCTGCAAGAAGTAAAGGTGAGAAAGGGATATACAGGTTTCTCCTTTAGAGGAGTGACTAACTTGCCACATCCGTTGCACCATTTTCGGAGTAACTGCGAAGGAGTAACCGTGCTCTCGCGTTTACCACCCCTCAAAAGAAAATATACTTGTGTATACGCGCCGATGCGTCGTTTGCATCCGGCGCGAACATTCTTCCAGTTGCTCCGAAAAACGGGCGCTTTACTCCAGAAGGAGAAAAGGGCCCCTCCTTGCCGTGCCATGTGCAATATTTTGCGCATATTACGTCTTTTGGAAAAGCTAAGAGCCCTTTTATAATTCCCACTCCAGGAAGCGTTTTGGAGTGTGGACGTTGACTTGATGCATTTTATTTTATTTTTTATTTAGTACACACTGCAGTCCGTAGAACAAGCAGGAGGATCAAAGAAAGGGAACACAGTGGGAACAAAGGGTGCATGTTGTACCACAAAACTCTATTACTATCCTACACAATAACTGAAAAAGAAGTACGTACAAAATAGAGTGAATTAGATGTACACAACTACGAAAAAGCAGAAAAAGAAAAAAAAAAGTACACAAATTGCTTGAAACACTCTTAAGCGAAGAAGTAACGCAACACAACTGTACTCGTGGTATGACGTTATATAGCATGGTATCAACGATGTTGGCTGAGCAAAAAGATGCATGAATTTTTCAAAGTCAGGAATGCAATGTTCATGAAAAGCACATGTGGGCAATGTATTCCATTCGCTAATAGTTCGTGGAAAGAAGGAGTGTTTGAAAAGGTTAGTACGTGTGAAGTATATTGTCAAATCATGACTGTGATTATGTCTGGTTTGCCTGGAAGAAAACAGAGATTGATAGGTATTCATGAGGATGGATATTAAACTGACGATTTAGAAGCAGGAAAAGAAACTTGAGTCTGGCGATAGCTCTATGGTGTTTCCAAAGTGGAATGTTGTTTTAGACATAAGTGATGAAGGTGAATCAAGATTGTGATAGGCATTATAAATGAATCTTACCGCCTATCTTTGAATCATTTCAAGCTTATAAATGTCTTTTTTTAAATATGGGTCACAGGCCACGCATCCTTACTATAGACGGGGTCGTATATATGTAATGTATGCAAGAAGCTTAATTTGTGATGTCGCGTTTTTTAGTTTGTGTCTTAGAAACCCTGGTTTTCTA